AATCAAGTTTCTTACATCGAAGTTGATATTCATATTTATTAAGAAATTTTTGTTGTTTTCCTTGATTATTCAAGTTCATATCATTGAGAGTTGACGTCGACATTTGAATAGAATCGAATGAGACCGATGATTTATTGAAGAATACACCTTGTTTCAATTCCATTAATGCTCGTCTCGATTTTTCAACATTACGTCGCATGTTTGATAGACGTTTAGCAATTTCACACTAAATGACACGAAATATAGAAAAAAAAAAAAAGAATTGAACAAGTTTTTCTAAACCAGATTATAATTTTACTTGATATTCATTTGGTTCTTCTGCAATATATCGACGTTCAAGGATTTCTAATTCGAAATCATGTATCACTATTGTTGTTTTTAATTGATATTTCAATTCAAGTGGTTTAATTCCATATTCTTGAACAAATTTTTGTATCGTTTCATTGATATCTAATGTAAATCCAATCAAAGAATTTTTTTTTACCAATAATTTTTGTTGATAATATTGAATTTCTTCATTTAATTCTTCTAAACGTTGATTTATTAATTTTTCACAGGCAGTCTGTTGATCAGGTTCATTCACTTCCATTGTTGTTGTTGTTGTCATGGGATGTTTGGTTAATAGTAAAGATTTTACTTGCATTGGCCATACTCGTCGATCAACTTCAATTAAGTCCAATTCAGGTTCTGTTAATGTGCCTGTGACGGATCGTAAATAAACAGTTGTCATATCTTTTTTCATGCGAACTGCTTCAATTTGATGCATAAAAAAAGCCATTTCTTGTAGATCACTGATAGTAATAGATGGAACATTTTTCAAAAGATTTTCATTCATACGAACAAATGCTTTATGATTCATTGTTAAATAATTTGGCATTTGATCTTTGGGTTTTGTATCTTGAAGATTGTTGTCATCGTCATCGTCGCTGTTTGTATCAGCTATTTTAAGTTTCTTTGAAGTTGTACAGGGACTTGTTGTAGTACTGTAACGTCGTTTTTTATTCATGATTGTGAATGAACCGATTTCTTCTTTGGTTTTTGTCGATAATTGACTTAATTTTTGTGATAAAAAGGTTTCTTCATCGGATTCGTGTTGTTCATCTTCAATTATCTAAGAAGAAAATAAAACATAAATTACTCATTAAATCATACAAAATGTCATAAGTTGACTTACTTCAACAGAATCCAAGTCATTAAGAATTTCATATTCAATTTTTTCCTCTTGATATATTGTTGATTGTAGTTGACCAGATAACAAAAATTGATCTAATACATCAGCCGAAAATTGTAACCCATCATTCGTATCATCGATAATATCAAATGTATCATTGAACGATTTGATTGTATTTGTCGATACTGAAGTTGTATTCGCCATAGATAAATGATAGGAAAAAACAAAATGATTATTTTTTAATCTGAAAAAAAACAAAAAAAAAACATATGGAAAATAAAGTCAACAATATCTAACGCTANAATCAAGTTTCTTACATCGAAGTTGATATTCATATTTATTAAGAAATTTTTGTTGTTTTCCTTGATTATTCAAGTTCATATCATTGAGAGTTGACGTCGACATTTGAATAGAATCGAATGACACCGATGATTTATTGAAGAATACACCTTGTTTCAATTCCATTAATGTTCGTTTCGATTTTTCAACATGACGTCGCATGTTTGATAGACGTTTAGCAATTTCACACTAAATGACACAAAATATAGAAAAAAAAAAGAATTGAACAAGTTTTTCAAAACCAGATTATAATTTTACTTGATATTCATTTGGTTCTTCTGCAATATATCTACGTTCAAGGATTTCTAATTCGAAATCATGTATCACTATTGCCGTTTTTAATTGATATTTCAATTGAAGTGGTTTAATTCCATATTCTTGAACAAATTTTTGTATAGTTTCATTAATATCTAATGTAAATCCAATCAAAGAATTTTGTTTTGCCAATAACTTTTGTTGATAATATTGAATTTCTTCATTTAATTCTTCTAAACGTTGATTTATTAATTTTTCACAAGCAGCCTGTTGATCAGGTTCATTCACTTCCATTGTTGTTGTTGTTGTCATGGCATGTTTGGTTAATAGTAAAGATTTTACTTGCATTGGCCATACCCGTCGATCAACTTCGATTAAGTCCAATTCAGGTTCTGTTAATGTGCCTGTGACGGATTGTAAATAAACAGTTGTTATATCTTTTTTCATACGAACTGCTTCAATTTGATGCATGAAAAAAGCCATTTCTTGTAGATCACTGATAGTAATAGATGGAACATTTTTTAAAAGATTTTCATTCATACGAGCAAATGCTTTATGATTCATTGTTAAATAATTTGGCATTTGATCTTTGGGTTTTGTATCTTGAAGATTGTTGTCATCATCATCGTCATCGTCGCTGTTTGTATCAGCTATTTTAAGTTTCTTTGAAGTTGTACAGGAACTTGTTGTAGTACTGCAACGTCGTTTTTTATCCATGATTGTGAATGAACCGATTTCTTGTTTGGTTTTTGTAGATAATTGACTTAATTTTTGTGATAAAATGGTTTCTTCATCGGGTTCGTGTTGTTCATTTTCAATTATCTAAAAAGAAAATAAAACATAAATTACTCATTAAATCATACAAAATGTCATAAGTTGACTTACTTCAACAGAATCCATGTCATTAAGAATTTCATATTCAATTTTTTCCTCTTGATATATTGTAGATTGTAATTGACCACATAACAAAAATTGATCTAATACATCAGCCGAAAATTGTAACCCATCATTCGTATCATCGATAATATCAAATGTATCATTGAACGATTTGATTGTATTTGTCGATACTGAAGTTGTATTCGCCATAGATAAATGATAGGGAAAAACAAAATGATTATTTTTTAATCTGAAAAAAAGAAAAAAAAAACATATGGAAAATAAAGTCAACAATATCTAACGCTAGACACAAGTGTTTCAAATACAAGCTCTCACATAAGTATTTTCACAAAAAAAAACTAAGATATTAAGGAAACGTGTGCATTTCATGAGTTCCTAGAAAAAAAAAACAGAAAAAAACATCTAATCAACGACTACATCATCGTCCTGAAAGACTTCATTGTTCTGTGAGATCAAGAAAATATTTTAATGGAAATGGTCGTGTTGTATGTTTCATATATTCATCAATGAGTTGTCGTAATTTAGCGACGAATTGTTCATCCAATGTTGAATCAAATGTTTCATTTTTTACAAACATTTGTGTCGGCCAATCAAATGTTGATTGTGTTGGCTCTTGTTTTACTGCTGCAACATGCTGGAAAATATAACAAAGGAGCATATGTATATATTAAATTTGATAAAATGATTACTTCTCTTGGTGTGTTGGATGATTTGTTTTTAACAATTTGAGACCATCTTGGATTATTGAAAATAATAAAACAATATTGTTGACGTTGAAGATAAGCTGTATATATTGTTGGTATGTTCTTCTGTGGTTTTTCATCTTCCATACTATTAGACACTTCCATAGGTTCGACTTTTAATGCATCATTTTCATCCGATGTTGGATCTTTCGTGAATAAATTCATAAGAATTTTGTTTAAATCTTTTGAGTTGACGTCCATAAATGCAAGATATCTAGAATATACAAAATATAACATTCAGTGAAATGAATAGTAGGGAAGAGCTAGAATTTCCATGTTTCAAATTTTTATTTCAATTCAAAGTCTATACGATGACGTTTCCTAGGATGTTACACCTTAAATTTATAAACAAAAACAATTCTATATGAAGAACAGTAACAAAAGAAAAAAACGACGACTACAAAATAAGTTGGAAGATAGGAATGAGTCCAGTTCGTTAACGTAGTTGGTTGATATGGGTTAAATCAAAAACTAAGTTAATTGGATATAATCGTTGAGTTCGTTGAAGATATGCACGAATACATTCTTCTAATTCAAATCGTAGTGTATTGTATAATAATATTTCATGTTCTTCTGTATGCGCTATACCAAAATGGATAGCTGCATTGGGAGCTAGCATTCCAACTCGAAGTCGTTGTTGCAATTCCTAAAATACAAGATAAGAAACTATCAATAAATTTATATGTTCTATTACATTATTCGGTTGTTGTTGGTAGGATTGTGTACGATTCAAAAGATTTGGATAATTTGTGA